ATAATAATAGTAATAATAACAACAATAACAATAATAATTAGTAATAATAAAAATAATAGTAATAATAATAATAATAGTAATAATAATAATAATAATAATAATAATAATAACAATAATAATAATAATAATAGTAATAATAGTAATAATAATAATAATAATATGAATAATAATAACGGGAGTAATAGTGACAGTAATAGCAATATTGATTTCATTATTCCATTCCTTGCTGTATCAATAATTACTAAGATTTCCTATTCAGCATCTATCATTTGGTTCAGTTTTTCTTTTCTTGTCGTCAATGTACGTTTTAAAATTGTGCAATTTGAATTTTCTTCAAATCCGAAACCATTTTACATTATAGGCTTGTCACTGATTATCATTTCCGGCTACTCATTATCCTGCACATTATTTAACCAGCGTATAAATAAATGCATCTATAAGCCATTACCAAAACTTTTTTTTTTAATAAATTTGAATTGTCAATAGTGATGGGAAATTTACCAAAGAAAATATCTTATTCAATACTTTCAAATTGTTTCTGATTTTTATTATTCTATCATCGTGTTGAAATAACTTTCTTCGTTTTTTCTTTTTCAATTTAAAATTTAAACTGAAATATAATTGGAAAATTTTAGTAAGTCTACCTGTTTGCATATTTTAATTGATTTCTACTTTATAATAATGGAATGATAAGCTTCAACTACTTTCATATTTTAAAATGATAAATCATCAATAATTCAGATCCTTAATTTTTTTTCTTTCTCCTCTTCTACAGCAAGCAAATTACTTCTATTGAGAAATGTATTTTTTTTTTAAGACAAAGAAGAAAACTTTATTGTAAAAATTTTAAATGAAATACTTAGTCACAGTGACAAGCATACATCCATTTAAGCATTTATTAATTACCAGTTACCATTTATTCTTGACAAGTAATCACTTCTAGCTAGTCATTTCAGTTTAGCTAACTTCAACTATTTGCATCATTTTAATTCATAAAAATTTATCTTAAAAATAAGCAATATATCCTTGGATAGGTAATATTCAAGAAAATGGATTACAGCTTATTTTATTATTACTTCTCTCTCTCTCTTTCTCTTCTCTTTGTCTCCCATTCTCTCTCTTTCTCATTCGTAGAAAAAGTTTTATTAGAAATCTACAAAATAAGAAATAAGAATCCTTTCTTCTTTTTTTCATAGAAAAATTCTGGAAATTTTATGAGTAAATAATATTTTCCTAAAAAAAAGAAATTCCTTTTTTTCTACAAAAATAAAAATAAAAATTCCAAAAATTTTATGAGCAAATAATATTATCGTATGCAAAAAGAAAAAAAAAAGGAGAAAAATAAAAGTACGAATAAAAATTTGCATGTTTTGCATCAAATTGCATTCGTTAAAATTCCTTTTTTTTCTTTTTTCTTCAATAAACTTTTTAAACAAATGTAAATGATTAATGAGTTTGTGATATTTGTTCATTTCATACTCGAATTTCATTTTCGAATTTCATTTCATTTAAATACTTTAATATTTCAAATTTATCAACATTCGAAAAATTCGATTATGTTTAGAGAAAATTGAAATTACTACATGTGTATTGCTTCTCCTATAGTTTTTAATTTATTTTTAATTAACCCATTAATTGCTGTAATACCATACATTTATTATATTACACTTTTTAAATTTGATTATTTTTTATATTATCTATTTTTTAAAAAAAGGAAATGATTAAAAGAAAAGAAGAAAATGATGGAAACTTTTCAGTGAATATTGATACAAAAATTTTAAATGAAACAGCAATAAACCATATGTGTCTTTGTTTTTCTTTTCTTTTTCTTGTTTTTTATCATAGAATAATTCGAAAAATATCGATGAGCTTACCAGTTAGTATTACTAACAAATTAGCTATAATAAGAAGACATTTAAGATGACAACAGCAATGACAACAACAATATCGCGGCATTTTTAATCTTATTGATTACTCATAAACTAACTCTACACAATTGTTAATCAATATCAAAACTGGCATAGAATCAATGTTGCAAGAAATTATCAACAATTCCACGTTCAATTAAATTTATATTTCCTAAAATTTCCTAATAAATTTCATATCATTATTTATCAGTACAATCCGATATCGTAAATTTGTTGAAGCTAATTGAAATACAATCATTCAATTGTTTGATTGAAATATATATATATACATATATACGTGTATATATACATATATATGTTATGTATATATCTGGAATCTAGCAGTGATAAAAAAGAGTAAATTAGCTAAAATCAATCACAGGAAAATAAACTTCTTCATGGTAAAAATTAAAAAATAATTAAAATTAGCAAAATTTTTTTTTTGAAAAACGAATGAAAAAAAGGAACTTTTTTCTCGAATGATTAAAAAATTTGTTTAGAAAAAGAATTTTGCGCAATTTTCCTTATTGTTTTTAAATTTAGTAGTAGTAAAATTTAATTTAAAAAAGGAAAAGGCAGTTCAAATTTCCATTTATTAATAATAATAAGATATTGCTATTATTATCATCATCAATAAAAGTGTGCTCCCATTTTTGTTTGAATCTTATATTTGTTTCATTCTATTTAATCCTGATAAGCTTGTCACAATGATTTCGTTCAAACTTCTTTTTTCTTTAATCTGGTTTTTTTTTCCCCCTACCAATTTAATTTCAAATGCTATTTTTACCAACTTTTTTTTTTAAATTTATGCCTGAATTATTGTTATTATTGCCATTTATCATTTTTACTTATCTTTATTATTATCATTACATGTCATTATAATTATTATTCAATATTATTATTATTGTTACTATTGTTCCATCTATTAATTTATTGTTAATTTTGTTATTGGTGACTCCGAATTATAAAATATCACTGTTTCGTTTCAGATATTGAATTCAACTTTTCATAAATTTTGTCATTTGATTGAATCATGTCAAATGGATGACAAAGGAAAAGAACTTTGTCCACGCTTGATTGACTACTTGGTATGTTTCTTTTTTTTCTTTTTAGTAAAATTGCTGAAGCTATTTGAAAATTTTTCGTGTAAATTTAAAGTTTTTTCCCAAAGATTTTGTGCAATTTTAATAAATACCTTCAGTAAATATCAAAAATGCGTTTTTGTTTTTCAATATATAAATTTTGAGAAAAAAGTAAATTTCGTAAAAAAGTGAAAATAAAAACTAAACACAAATAAAAAGTAAATTTAAAAAATAAATGAAAACTAAGCAGCAAATAAAAAAGTAACTTTAAAAAATCTATTAATGCGTTATTTTTCAATATTTTGAAGAAATGGGAAACCTTTCCTCTTCAATTATAGCTCTCAGTTATAGTTTTAATTAATAATGTATCAATGATTTTTTTCTTTCCAAACTTTTAGCCAGAAATAGCAATAGTTATAGGTTAATTGAGGTTTTAAATAATTAATAAGGAGAGTTTTGCAGGTGATAGTTGGTCGACGTCGTGGAAAATATATATCTCAGACAAGTATTGGTGATGCATCATCATCATCATCAATATCACAAAGTATCACAACTCCTGAATTGTTGAGGCGCTATCCGAATAATGATCACAAGGATTTTTATCTCCCTACCGATGTTACAGTATTTTGTCAACCTGAAGGATGTGTCACAAAAGGTAGATTAGCTGGTTATGATATCAAATTATGTTTTCTGAATTTTATAAACTAATTGATAATGTTTACCTTAATGAACGCTTAACTTACTAACTTACTTTAATGGATGCTGAACTTACTAACCTTAATAGAACCGAACATACTAACATATCTCAATGAATACTGAATCTACTAACTCATTTATCTTAATAGATATTATTTTACAGAAGTACCGCGACATTCTCTTTCTCATCGAGAAACAAGCAGTTTTGTATTCACGTTGACAGAGAAAGATTCGGCAAAAATTCGATATGGCATTTGCTTAAATTTCTTACAAAGTTACGAAAAGAATCGAGCTGTATCAACGGATGATAAAGGCATTTTGTGCAGTAATCGTCCTCATAAAAGGTTAATTAATGATCATTTATGCAAGGTAACTCATAAGGGAAGGAAATGAGTATTAAATGATTTATAAAATTAAATGGGAATTAATTCCTTAGTATTAGTTGGCCAAACAAAAAAGAAAAGTTGTATTCTTCTTGGCTTATTTTCAAATATCCGGAAATATCTCCTGTCCTATCCGCTGTTACCATTTTGCGTAGGTTTTCAGGTAATATTTTGTGGATATCTCGCAGAAATCGATCGTAAAAACGTTATTACAGATTGGATCAAAGGCTTTCATTAACAAGCTTATGCTTAATTAGCCACCATCCATTTCTTTCCACATTTCGAGAATTGTTGTTATTATTGAAGAAATTGATCGATGGTTGTAGCCAGAGACTTATCGACGATGGACAATATTCAAAGTATTCTCTCTTTCATTATTCAAATTTTTATCGCAAAATCTCATCAGCTTTTTTCCTTTTATAATCTACGGCATTTTATCATTTTTGCATAATATTTTCATTTTAGAGATATAATTTGGGCAGCACTTACGGGTTGTTGGACAGAACCAATTCCACCCAGAGTAATGCAGAATATTCGAGAATTGGAAACATGGATCCTGATGCTATTAAGTGCACCTGTTTCTGTTCCAGGAAAAACCAAAGTACTTTTAGAGGTAGGTGTCTTTTTGAATTATCCGTCTTTTTGTTTTGTTGTTTTTCCCTTTCCCACATTACGATGTTTGTTATTGAAATTGAAAATTTGCAGTTAATTTCCGAAACAAAAAACTCGTAGAATGAGGTAACTTTGCCAAAATTTCTCATTTCTGTGACATATATTGCTGATTTAAAATTAATTGCTAAATTTTGTTGCATTTTTTAAGGTGTTGCCATCAAATATTTTGCCAATTTTTGAATTTGCTCTTCCTGATCATACACGATTTTCTTTTGTTGATTTTCCACTTCATTTACCCCTTGAACTTCTTGGAATCGATACAGCAATGAAAGTAATGGCTGCTATAATGCTTGAATCAAAGGTGAAACTTGCTATTTGTAATTTGTTAAGGATGATAAAAGTTTAGGAAAATTTTATAAATTTTAGGATAAAGCAATGATTGATGAATTTTTTCCATCGATCTACTTATATTACAAATCTTTGTTACAACTTAGCTCAAAATAATTCGTTACCTAATCTTATCATTTATTCAAGTTAATTGTTTACATGTAATTGATTTCTGGAACTATTTTCTCTAAAATAAAAAGATAATTTTTGAAAATTACTTCTTCTATAAGGTTGTTTTACAATCACGCAATTACAATGCTGTCAGTATGTGCGTATTAGCACTTGTTGCATTAATGTATCCGTTGGAATATATGTTTCCTGTTATACCTTTGCTTCCTTCCTTTATGCCATCAGCTGAACAAGTAAGTTTGTTTAATTTCAAATTTCTGTTTATTTTAATTTTTCTTTCAGCTTTTTAGGAATGTAATTTTTGCGATTTTTGCGAGAATTCACTAGCACATTGTGTAATTTATGGCTTTATTTATGCCACAGTTAATATTTTAATCCTACTGCACTGGACATTTCGGGTATAGAGTAACTTAAAGATTTCTACATCTTTTGTAACGGATATCTTTATCAGCGGTTGCTAATGATTGCAAAAGACAATAATGAAACTTGTTTAAGTGAAATAAATTAAATTAAGGCATGTCATCGACGTATAGTTAAGATTTTGTCTAAAGTTTTTAGTTCTTATGAAAACAAAACTTTTAAAATTACACATGATTGGTGTGGGATAAAATAAATCAAATTCCAGTTAGGGTAAAACAATATTAAAGTTGGAGTGAAATAAATTAAATTAAAGGCAAAATAAATCAGTTTGACGTTGAAGTAAAGTAAATCGAATTTAATTTAAGGTAAAATAGATCGAGTGAAGGTTGGGGTAACAAACCAAACTTAAATTGAGTTAATTAAAGTAAATCAAAAAAAAATTGCATAAAATTAAAGTACCGAGTTTTTTAAAGCTTTTATTTTATATGGTTGGACGTATCCTTACACTCTTTAACTTTGGTAAATGGTCATTCATATATGTGCTTATTTGTCATATTCGTAATGTCTGCATTATTTATCGGTTTACTCGATCGATACTGTACATAATTGTTTCCAATATGTAATTCCTTCATATTTCAGTTGTTATATGCACCGACACCATTCGTAATTGGAGTACCAGCATCATTTTTTGCTCATAAAGCTATTGATATACCAAATGATATTATTGTTGTCGATCTTGATACGAATCAATTGTTGATACCAGATGATATCAATATTCCTGATATGCCAGAACCAGATTGCACTGAATTAAAGGTATTATTAAACATCAAGTTTCATTTAATAAATTGTCTTTTGAGATGCTTGTTAACACTTACTTCTTCTTTCATAATGGTGATAAATTTAAAAAAAAAAGGAATTGTTTTCCAGAATAGTTTGCGTAAATCGTTGGATCAATTATTGCTAAATATACCAGGAATGGAATCAGGAAATGATGAAACGGTTGAGACAGATTACACGTTGGATAGTGACGTTGTTGATATTTCTGTCCGTGTTGCCATGGTTTGTTGTTAGCTTTTTTCATTGCTAATTTAAAAATATTTCCAAACAACACATTTCATTAAAATCAAAATTCACTTTTTCTTTTTTAGATTCGCTTTTTTAATAGTGCAAATGTATTTGCAAATTTCTGTGAACATACACGTACGTTACGTCTCTATCCGCGACCAGTTGTTGCACTTCAAACGGAATCCTTCCTACGTAGTCGTCCACAATTTACACAATTTATTGCTGAACTTTGCAAGTTTGTACAACATTGCATTTCGGATCAAAATTCAATTCAGTTTTATGAAATTCACCGAGAAAAAGTACTTGTAGCTTTTCTCCCGCTGAATCCGAAATTCCCGAAACATTCTCTTTTGTTTAATTTTCTTCTCTTGTCTTAAAGTTTACGAAAACATTTGATTATTTGCTCGTTTGTTTGTTTTTTAAAGAAATTATTCAGAACCCAAGCTGTGGAATATTTTGCTGAATGTTCCTTATGTCCACATAACGAAACATATGTACGAGTGCAGGCAGGAACGGATGATCCAAAACAGATTGGTGATAAAGGAAAATGGTTCAACGAGTCACTGATGCCAATTCATTTCACTGTTTGTTACTTTCCTTTTCTTTTTTTTCTTTTTTTTTCTTAGATGAATGTCTAGAAAACATTTGCTTTTAATCAATTAATTAAGAAATGGTTTAAAAGATTAGAGAAAACAGGAAAAAATTTTTTTTAAACTAATTCGGAATTGATTCATTGATATCGAAGTAATGCATGACGAAGAAGATATAACTCTAAATGAGATATGTCGTGAGAGTGATGAGAGAATAAGTGGTAAAGAGGGGATGAAAAGTTTAAAAACTTATTTTTTAGGTATATTCCAATGACTCGACGCTTGTTGATGCATGGCGAAATGTTGCAGAAGAATGGCGCAATAGTGTAACGGGTAATCTTTTCGTTGACTTCAACCTTGTTGCTCATCTCTTAAATGATGTATTCATCTTAATAGACGCCCAAATAGACCTTTCGATTATTAATTACCACCAAATTAATCAGCGTAGTTGTATTTGTCATGAAATAACAGTGATAAAAAATCACTTTGAGTTATCTTCATGCGGACGGTATGGTATATTGTAGATTCCAACGGTGATGAAGTAAGCGATGCTGGAAATACTGATGGTGAAAGCTTTTCAAGTATTGATGATCTTTTATTCGATATTGCTGATCAAACAGAGACATCTGTCGGTATGGTTAAATTCTGTCTTTCATCCAACGGATTATTTACTTGAAAATTCAATCTAATTAATTTAATGTCATCAACTTCTATCAAAAGTCTAATGCTATTTGCATGTATGCTACAGGCGACTATGATATTTTTGAATATTTTCAATATCCAGTGTTTATTTAACTTTTGCATATAACTTAATTTTTTCTAAGCTATAGGTTTTTATATAATAAGAATTTTGTTGCTTGAGTTATGTATTTTTACACTACCATAACTCCAATCCTTTGATTAGGTAGTAATTTGGATACTTTATCACCTTTTTTTATGTTCTAAATTCAAAGCAAATTTGGGAAATTTTGAAACTGCAAACTTTTCGTCACCTTTTCAGGAGCAGCAAAACCACTTGGTGAAGTTGACGATGTTTATAAGGAGCCATTGACGTTAGCTATTCCGAGAAGTGAAAGTGTACACTCGGCTGGTAGTTCCACAAGCAGTGGCCAGTAAGTTAAATGTTGCTACTTTAAACTTTTCTACCTATTAAGTTAACTAGGATTCTTATAAGCTTTCGTTAGGTATTTTCCATAAAGTTCTCACTGGCTCAAATTATTTGGTGTGTTTTTTCCAGATCTACGCCATCTTCATCAATTTCAACATCGGCAATGGATAGTGAGGCTGATTTCGCAAGGCTTGCTGAAAATTTGGCATTAAAATCAGATAGTCGAGTAAATTAATTGTCAAAGTTCATAGATATTCATACATTCAGACTTGGTACATACACATTTTATGCTCAATTTAAGTTTGTTTAATTAATTAAGGGGGACTTCTCATTTCATCCTCCGAATGAATCTACTGCTGTAACCGATTGTCAGTCCTCAGCATTTCGTAGACTATCATCACAATCCGGAAGTTCAACCAATGCTACAATCAGTAAGGCACCACCATCAAAAGGAACTGCTATTAAGGTTTGTAATTCATATTCTTGTAAATACTGGTGCTTCAAATTTTCATATCATTTACATATTACTTGAATCAATTAGCAAAATTAGTAAATATAGATGGGTAGGTGTATATTTGCAAAATTAATAAATATGGATGGGTAGGTATATATACATGTGCTTACAGGGTTTGGCTCATTTAGCAGATTCAGGTGAAAAAGTTCTCGGGCCACAATTCATGAGTGCACTCAATGGATATGCGGAAAGAAGCCATGATATGTTAAATCAGGTTTATTGCTTTTTTTTGAACATGATATAATGTAAATCAGTCCAATTTATTTCACTTTATATTTTGGATAAATGTTGTGTCACTAATGAAAAAAGTAAATGATCATTTTCAATGACTGAAATATTCCTTCATTTTCTTGCAGGTTTTACATCGTACAGCTCCTAAAGCTCAAGCTATACGCGATAAAGCTGTTCGTCCGATTGCTTTGGCTGCAGCAAATCGAGTAGAGCAAAGCCAACATCTTGTGAGGACAAAAAGTAGCATAATTGGCAACAAAAGTACTAATGCTGCTGCACAACAAAGGTTCATTTTTAGTTTTAATAATTGTTTTATTTACAAAAGAAGTTTGTAAAAGAAATTAATTTCGAATACTGATTGTTTCAGAACAAAAAAAAAAAAAAAGATTTTGTTCAAGTCAAATAATACATTATAAGTCAGGTAAAATCGTTTTATCAAGGACTAGGATTGATTTATGCAGGACTAGCAATACCAGTCATCAAACTCTTTCATTGAATCAGCCCATTAATTAAGTGCTGAAAAAATTATTAACTTGTTCCTAGTAGTAGATAGATATATGTGGTAGTATATGTATGGTTTGCTTAAAGCTTTCAGAAATTTGTCAGCATTACATATTTTTTGTTTGGGATAATATATAAGTTAAATCTTATGATTTAAGTAATTTGGTGATTGTAATACTTTGATTATTCAGTAACTACTCCCACTTCATTTAATTTTTTATTTTCTTCTATTCTTGAAATACTGATTTAACGGAATCGATTCAGCAAGAATCAACAAACTGTTCGTGAAATATGTGATCAAATCCTAGCTGGTCAAGGAGTTGGCGTATTCACATATCCAAAACTGAAACGATTAATGGAAGATGAAAGTTTGAGGCAACTTGTTTGTTCCAAATTAAACCTTGGTCTTGATGTGCAACATTTTGAAGATGACTTCATACAAGATATGGTAACAAAAAACTCGGAAATTTTGCTTTTTCTTTCTTGTCGCTTTTTTTCTTTTAAAGAATACTATCAAAAGCAAAAGTTGTAAATTTTTTATGGCATATGTTGTGATAGGCCACGTACTTTGCATCATCAAAGGATTATAAATTATGACTAAGATAACTTTATAAGAAATGCATCTTTGTTTAACTAGCTACAAAGAATTTCAGCAGTTAACTCGAAATCAGTATAAGGGATATTTGAAAGCTTTGCAAACATGCATTGCTGGTCTGGAGTATTCATATAATTCATCTGGTTCCAATGGTCTAGCCTCATTATTTCATGTGCTTGAAATTGCCCATTCACATTATTGGACCAAAGAGACCGAAGTAACGTCACCAGCAAGTGCATCTGGAAGTTTGGTAAAAATTATTCTTTCTCTAGAGAATTCAAAGATGATATCAGATTTACTTTAAGGCTTTTTTATAAAATCCTTTTTTCTTATTCCCAAGTGTATGTTGTTGTTTTCTAAGAGTCTAAAAGCCAAGCTTTCAACAAGTTAGTGAGAATTACACATACCATAATTCATAAACTTGGAGAGAGTTCCATTGCTGTTCACTGTTTATCATATAAATTTACAAATAGAAATGTGTTTTTTCTTTTCAGCTTAATACTCCATCCTCATCGTTATACGATGTACAACGACAACAGCATGAGATTTTGTCACCATTACGTCCACCACCAATTCCGATCGGACCACCACTATCTCTACCATTGCCTGGAAGTCAAGCTCCTAAACCTCCCATTCCACCACGTATTTCACATGAAATAGTACTACGTAAGTTATTGCTCAAAATTCGACAGTTTTTTGATTCTGGGCTATTTTTCTTAGTTGATTGATAATTCACTCCTTGAATTGCTGGAAGTTTCGGAAATTTGAAAAGTTAACCGAAAATATCACCACGATATCAAACTTGGAGCGGGAGATATTCTGATAATTTTTCTCTTTAATCTTCATATAAAATGATCAATTAATAAATTCTCCCATAGTTATTGCTGCATCAAATTTATCCGCTATTATTTTTCAGCTACTGGTCCACCACCACCACTTCCACCACGACCGGTGGTAGTTCGTCAAAATGTATGTGATGATGCGCGGTCAGTATCGAAGTCTAATGTCCAACCAAAAAATTTGGAAGAAGTAGCGAAGGCAAATAGTATTTCATCGGATACCAAAAAATCGGAATCAAAACTGAATCTGGATAATAAAACAGAAACAAGTTCAACTATATCAGAACGTTCATCATTCACTTCAACCATTGTAAGTTCGTTTTTTAAACCTGGCTGGTCTTATCACTGAAAAATATTTCTGCCTTTTGAAAATATCTGAAGATGTAAACTTTTAAAATTATTGCTTTGTTTGTTATCAGGTAAATTTTTCAATCAGAATGGAAGGATAATATCATCTTTATGATTAACTGTCGAACTCTGGTCTTCTAGTTGGAATTCAATGGCATATTTGTTTTGTTTTCAATGCTGTAGTTAAACTTGAAATTTCCATTGCAAATTAAATGTAGTTTTATCTTTTCTTATTTCAGAAATCCCGTCTTCACGTACAACCACCGGATAGTTTGTCATTTGATTCAACAACTTCATCGCGTGTTTCATCTGATATAAAGCCAATTCGGCACTTCATTTATCAGGATTTAATATGTGATATTTGATTTAATTTAATTACTACTATCTTAT